AATTTATTATATATATATATATATATATATATATATATATATATATATTATATTATATGTGTGTGTTTGTTTAATTTATGTTAATTAAAATTTGAATTAGATTAAAATTAGTAAATAATATTTTTTTCTCGATTTATTATTATTATTTTTAATTATTTTATTTATTTTTATAAAATTTATAATTTGAATGTGATGTTTTTTTACTTTTAAGTATAAATTAATATTTTTAGAATTTAATTTGATTTTAATCAATATATTGTTTATTTATTGTTGAAACTAAAAATACTCAATGTATTTATTAATATCAATCCAACAATTAACACAATCAAATATCCGTATAAAAATAAAAATAAAAAGTCGAATAAATCTAATTAATAAAACTACATATGTAATATATCAATCAATTTGCAATTAAATATAACTAGTAATGATAAAAAAAAGTATAACTAGTGTGAAAATTAGTATTTAATGATTCATTTATACTTGGTAATTGATACTAGTTTTTAATTTTGACTCATTTATATACACTAATGTTTAGAATGATAAAAAAAATGTCATGAATCATGGTATTCTTATAATGTAAAAAGGTAATTTATATCTTACAATTGGAAGGAAAATGATATATATATCATTAATATAATATCAAAATATATTTGAATGATTTTTTCTAATTTAATGTTAAATATTTTTGTTTTATTTAGTAATTATTTTTTGTATTTTTTACAATTTATTATTTTTAATTTATTAAATATATTTTTTATTTATATAAACTTTATAATTTGAATGTGATTTTTTTTTACTTTTAAATATAAATTAATATGATTAAAACTTAATTTGATTTTGATCAAAATATTATTTATTGTTTTGTTTGAAAATACAATGCGCTGATCCAAATATGCTGAAGTTGATCCAAATTTTGAAAATACAATGCATCATTAATTTCAATTAAACACCATTAACATAGTCAGATAAATCTATTTTGATTAGGTTAATTAAATAAACTATTCAACATACCAATCATGCTGTAATTAAATATAATGTGTGAAAATTAGTATTTAATGATACATTTATATTTAATGCCAATAAAAATGACATTTGAAACTATAGATTTCCTTTAATAAATTTTGAAGTCTTTTATTTTTTTTCAAAGATTGTTAACTCAAGTAATTTCACACTTGTATAATTATGCTCCTTAATTAATGGTTGGGTTTCAATGACTACCTTGGTTATGGAGGATTTTTACTTCATCTTTAAAAAAAAAAAATTTAATACATGTGTTGGGTAATCAAATCTGTATTATATTTTGTTTTTATTTATTCATTTATATTTATTTGTATCTAAATTTAATACACTAAAACGTCAACAAAAGTTGGTCTGATGGGTAAGAAAAATACTCATCTCAAAAGAACGTACATTTGATTCATATTAATACAAGAATCTTGTTGGTGAATAATCTATATAAATTCCTCTATAAGTGTTCATAGAGTCTTGAAATTCAAATACATTGAAACGCCAACTGGTCAGCTTCCAGAATCCAACTCATCTAAATTTTTCTTTAAAAAAAAAAAATACACTAAAGAGCTAAAATATATTAACATCGATAATAATAAACTAGTACAAGTAACAAAAACTAACTAACCTTGGTGTAAAAAAGAGGATTAATTCTGCTTTTTCATATAAATTTAACAATAGTTTTTATTTTATAAATATACATTTTCATGGAACGAGATATCTAGTATTAAATAAAATTAATATTTTTACTTTTTTTTACCACAGAACTTTTAAATTAAAAAAATTGACAAATAACTTCAATGTTTTTAAGCTCTTACTTTTAACTTTATTTTAAAATAGTTTTTAAGAATAAAAAAAAACTAAGTCAAAAATACCCTAAAATTATATATATATATATATATATATATATATATATTGTCACGTGTATATTTACCATAATTAAATTAGATTTTATCTTATCATTAAGCTAATGATATTACATTGTTACTCTTTTCATATGATAGGCCTTGTTATCCATCATAAACGAAAAAAATGAAAAATAATTCCCCAAGAAAAAAAAGAAGAAGAAAAAGGAAAATAATAGCTATAGATTCATATGTCCCAAATATAGGTACAAATATATAATTAGTGATGGGTTAATTAAAAAATATTATAAATAAAAAATGTGCGTTAAAAAACTTTTATTGATTATACATTTTCAATGATCATTGCTAATGTCCACTTATCTTCATATTAAATTAGTTTTTTTTTATGTTTGTTTAAGAAAAATAGTTAAAAAAATGACTTGAGATGAGGAAAAAAAAAAGTGACCCTTTAATCTTTGACCAAGTATTCTGATTGCTTTGTTACATATGAAACAGGTGCTTTGCATCATTAACAGACAATGCCTACAAATGATACCCAATAAAAGATAATACCATATGCGTAAGTTATTCATGCCAAAGCATGCACTAGCAAAATAACATTGGTACAAAATGACAGGTTAATCTGCTAACACATAAAGGAGTTCAGGCTTGAAAACTTGACAAGATCCAGTTTAAGGACCAAGCAGAACTTAACTGTTATAACCTTCTACAAATTGTGTCGGACATTATAAACTTGATCTTATCATTAGATTTTAAAGCAAGACCAACATTTGAAGCAGACTCAGCTTAACATGTAAATGAGACTTACAAAATTTGTAAAATCTGTTCATAAACTTCCGTAATCATTGAACAAGCAAATTGAGAAGATTAAGGGTGGATTCATAACACCTCTTTTGACACGAGAGTAGACAGTGTTTTATAATATACCGTATGAAAGTTTATTTGTGCCTAAAAACAAAGCAAGAACTAAAAACACTTCTGTTTATATGCTTACCATCTTCACCTTATTCCAATTTTCCGTAGCTCTTGCAACCGATGAGCTATGTCTTTAATAAATTGTTTTCCATCATTGCCATTTTGAAGAGAATTTGTTAGGTGCTCGAGAAGATCATGATCAAACTCAAGTGCTTCCAACCTGTCATTAAGATCTGATATTTCATTTTCTAGAGCAAACAACTCCAACTCAACTTCTCTTCTAGGCGTGGAGATTACAAGTCCAGGAGATGTTGGATGATTATTTTCTACATTAAGAGAACAAACATCGCTATCCAAAGCAGCTGATCCATCCTTATTCACATGATTTCCATTCAACGTATTAATGTTTTTCAGTGGGGACAAACAGGTCTCTTCATGACCATCTAATTGAGGCCCTTCACCATTAGAAGCTCTTTGTTTATTTGATTTACTGACTTCAAGTTTCTCAGGTCTAACATTAGGCGAATGTACACAAATTTGATGAACCTTCTCTTCCAAATTTTTCAAACATTGAGAAATGTATTCCTTTTCCTCTTCGAATTCCAAAAACGTGATTCTGCCGGTCACAGCTTCATTACCAACCTTGGATACCTCGGCATTCTTTGAACCGGAAA